CTCCCATTTGTATGGTGGGGACTCGGCACCAGGCACTGCAAGTAGAGTATACTGTGGCCTTGATCACTCCACCCCAACTGGCCAATAGAATGGTGGTTCCAAGCTAGGGTAGGCAAGCTGAGAAGATCAGGAGCTACCATTCTTATCCCCAGGGACTCCTTGTAGAGCAGGGTGTCATTTCAATAAAAGTAGGTCCTCATCTTTAGCTCTGGTGGCACAGTGGTTCTGCACAGCCAGGAGGAAAGGTGGGTCATAATGATAAAGAGTTCTGAAGCTCTGTCTGAGGGGACTGACTCTTTAAACAGAGTAGAGAACTCCATACCTAAAGGTGTTATGGGAAAACAATGTGGGTCTTCGTGTATAACACTTGGAAGGAGGCTGGTAACTCGGACACAAGCAAAACAGCAAAACAGCCAGAAGTTTAATAGAGAGAATCAGCAAAAATGCAGCAAAGAAGAGCCCACCTGATATCACAAATAAATGTGGTGGTAAGGAGGTTGTATTCATGCACTAGGCTGCACCCACTCGGAGGAGTCAGAGCAAGACATGGGGCAGACTCAAAAACACCCCCCTAGCTGCTCATAAATCCATCAACAGATGGAAGCCTCATTAGCACAGGAAGTTTAAGCACAACCTCATTAGCACAGGAGGTTTAAGCACAGCCTCTAACCAAACACCAACTGAACAAGCTGCCCTGACACAGGATGACTCCTAGTGAATGAAGCCTAAAAAGAATATCATAGTTATCCCTGGCCATCAAGAATTGTACGATGCCCTCTTAGCAGTGCTCACAGAGGGAAAATCCGAACTAGTCATTCCTGGCTGAACCCAGGGCGGAAAATGTCAACTCCCTAAACTTTGATAGCATCCTACAAGCCACACACATATCCAATGGGAAGGGGTAAAAATCTGACTGGCCAAGGAAGTTTAAGCACCACCTTTAACCAATAAATTACTTGTACTGACCCAGGGGTGACCCTGAGGTAGCCATGCCAGGAGACAAAATCAAGGGGGAAATCTGAGTACGAACATCAGACACTGAACATTGCAGAGGAAACAGACTTTGCAGAATTAGTTCAGCCAAGTCACTAAACAGATAATCAACCAAATGAATAATAACAAGCCTGGTGGTGGTGGGTCAGCCAGAGTTGCTACAATATATTACAGAAAATGTCCAGTTTAATAAAAAAAGAGAGATGTGCAAAGAAACAGGGAAGTATGAGCCACACAGGGAAAAAAGCAGGCAATAGAAACTGCTTTTGAATGGACTCAGATGGTGGACTTAGCAGACCAAAGCAGCTATTATAAATACGTGCAAAGAACTAAAGAAAACCATGTTTAATTAATTAAAGGAAGGTATCATGACGCTCATCAAATGGAGAATATTAGTGAAGAGATAAAAGTTATTAAAAAGAGCTAAATGAAAATTCTGAAGTTGAAAAGCATAATTGGAGT